GAAGTTTCAGATGTGGTTCCCTGGGCTCAGAGGGAGCAGAGTAGCCTGGGCTGAACACAAGGTCTGGGTTGAGCCATTTTAGAAGTCCTTGCTTCCAGAGAGTTCTAAACCCAGGAGCTACATGGGAGAAGTGGATGCTGTACTGGCCAACGGCCACAGCACACTTAGAGCCCTGCGGGGCAGCCCTGGAAACTCCAATGGGAGCAACTGCCCCCGGGGGTGGGGGAGGGGCTGGCAGCCTGAGAGGCCACCGGTCCCCTCCACCGGCTCACTCACTCTCCTGCCCTCCTGAGGCTCTTAGCCCTGAAGGGAGGACACTCATTGTTCCCATGTCTCTTAGGGGAAAACTGGGGTTCAGAGATACCACCAGACAGCTTGGGAACCAGCACAGATACCCTTCCTCAATTAATAAGGTCCTGAAAAAAATTGTTCCTATACACAAATACATACAGTTATATAGAGATACTGTACCAGGTGGCTGCCATCTACCAGAAGCAGGTTTGCTAGCACTAGGAGGTGGGTGAGAATGATGTCCCCACAGCTGGCACTGAGCTCAGGCCTTAGGCATAGCGAAGGTAAAAGGAAGCAGGGCTGGGGCAGCAAGGCCATCTGGGCTGTGTCTGCGGAGTCATGCTTGCCTGCTGACCCTACCACCCCTGACCCATTTGAGCCCCGGTTCTTGTGAAAGAGAGCCATCGGGAGATGACTATGCAGGAGGAAAGGAAGAATCTCAACGGCAAAGTGTCCGGGGTGGGTTGGGGGTACAGAGAAAGTTAGAGATAAAGCAGAAACCCTTGTCAAGATGGCAGTGCCACTAAAAGGGAGGGGGAATGGCAGGAAGTCAAAAAGAGCAGGGTGGGTGGGTGAGGGAGAAAAAGCGGGGGAGAAGGGTAGAGGCCTGGGGAAGGCCAAGTCCAGGGGCATCGTAGGGGGGCTGAAGCGCAGAAGCAGTGCACTGACCAGGGCTGGTGGGCATGGCCCTGGGACCTGTGGGGTGTCTTCTTCCTTCCCAGGTCATTGCTGAGAGAGGCAGACAGAGGCAGGGAGCAAGGGGGCCAGCTGGAGAAAGACAGGAGGGGACAGAAAGCCCGACAGTGGCCTTGTCTTGTCTGTGTCCCCTCGTCCCTTCTTCCCAACTCTCTCTCACCGAAGCCCAGCCCCAGAAACAAGGGAAAGGAAGGGGGGAACCAGGGGAGGTGGGGTGGGAAGGTGGGAACTGGGAATCCTTTTCAGAAAGAAATGAACAGCTTAACAGGATTCAGTTCAGTGACCAGGAAACACCCCTCTAATGGTGGACAGTTAAGCATCCAGTATGGAACCCTGTGGGGTGGGGAGGGGCAGTCGAGGCCGCCTTCTGAACCCCTCACACCCCAGCCTGAGTCACCCCTTCAGGGCACACGAGGGGAAGCCAGGCCTGAGAGAGACCTGGAAGTAGCTCCTAGGCTGAGGAGGACGTTGAGCTGCCTCCTCCAGGAAGGCTGCCTGAAGAATTATAGGTCCAGACATGTTAGGGAATAGATAAGAGAGAGGGGTGCCAAGGCATGTTCCCTCCCCCAAGAGCCCCTGCCAGGCTGTTCAGGGAAACCCCAGCAGGAGCAACTGACACTTTTTCTTCCCTCCACCTTAGCAGTGGGGGAGCTATTTCTGGGCTCCTCAAGGGGTGCTCCGTCCACCAGCTCTGTTGCCGGCCCAGTGCCCTGGGTGGAGACAGGCCATGAACAGGAATGGAAACTGGACTTAGAAGTCTAGGGAAAGTAGTCTCAAGGAAGATAATCAATGGCTTTCCACATAGCTCAGTGAGCACCAGCCGAGAAGGAAGATTTGGAGTCGGATTTCTCTTCAGGCAAGGGCTCGGGGACATCTAACTCTGGTGTTGCTCTTGGAGCATGCTCATATGTGCTCCCCAGCAGACCTGGACAGAGAATTTTGTGGGAGAGTCCCTTCAGAAGACTGTTCCAGTAAACCAACTTCCCAATGGCTCAACCACCACGCATCTTGGCAAGGGACTTGGCAGTCCTGGCCGGGGTGTCTCTCTCACTTCCTTTTTGATTTTCCTTTTGTCAGTATCCTCTGGAATTTGTCAGGGGTTTCACCCATGCATAAAGTCATTGCTTTATCAAATCTTTGTTTGAGCTTTACTAGGCAGTGGGGATACAAAGATGAATGAGACAAAGTTCCTGTATTCAAGTATCTTTGTCCATAGTGAGAAACAGCACACTGGCATGCTGGGAATGGAAATAGAAATGCGAGGCCTGGGCTGATGGCTTGGGTCTATACACCCTGTGGTCATGGCCTGCACACATACATGCATCCAAAGAAAATGAACATTTGGGAAATGCCAGGAAATATAGAGGGTTCACTGTGACCAGCCAGGAAGTTAGAAGCTAGAATATTCTTTGCCCACTCAGAAGTTGAATCTAAAACAAAACAAAACAAAACAAAATAAAACACCCCAAAAACAAACAAACAAACAAAAACCCCACAGAAACAAACCCACATACTCACCCATGTTATCAGGGTCCTGATCTTGAGCAACACTGATGTTAGGGAAAGGAAACCACTCAGGACCTTGATAGTCCTGTGGGAGTGGTGACCAAGGAAGCCATTGGATATGCCCCAATTTGTAAGGAGTTCTGAGGGTGGCATGGGTTTATCATGGACAAGGGTCAGATGCTTCCTGAAACCAGTGCAGGACTGAGAAAGGGAAATCCCCAACATCCAGGCTTTGTGGATGTGAGTGCTCACAGGGCCTGGGATTGTGTCTGGAAGCTGCCTCCTTGGCATCTTCAGTCAAAGGTTAGAAGCCGTGGGCTGGTCCTAAAAAGTGGTAATAGCCCAGGTGATGGCCAATGGGAAGTCTTAGAGACTCATAGAAGGGACTAGGGAAAGGTGGGGTGACACTGGAGCATCACCAAGATGGCACTTTCTTGCCATCAGAAACAGGGCCTGGCAGGAAAGGAAGTTGCCCCCCCCCCTCGCCACCCACCCCGCCAGCCACCCAGCTGGGAGGATAGGAGGACGGACCAGAGCCAGCTGGGCCCACTCCCTCCCTGCTGCTCCTGCCTTCATCCATCCCTTCCAAGAAAGAGGTCCAAACAAAGGGCTGTTTGACCAATCTCAAACCCTGGAGAAGCTGGGACTCTGGACAGAATGGGGCAAGAAAAGGAGCTAGAACTGCTGAGGTCTTATCTGCAGAAAGAAATCGAAGGAGAGAGTGCACAGCTGGGAGATGGACCGAAGAGAAAAGAATCATACTTGAAATGTCATTACACACAAAAGAGGAGACAAGAGAGGGAGAAGGGAGTGTTGCTTAGGGGGACCAGAGTCAGAGTGAAATGAGGTCAAGGAGAGAGGTGACCAAGGAACCAACTGACTGGAACTTGCCCAGGGAAGGGAGCCGTGGGGGTGCAGAGCCTTCGAGATGGATGCAGCAGCTGGGAGGAGGCTAGGGTGGCCAAGTGGACGAGACACTGAGTTGGCAAGAAAAGCTTTCCTACTGGGAGCAGAAATGTAGCCATGTTTCATGCTATGTGTACAGAAATGTGGTTCGCCCTTGCCCCCAGTGCTCCTAACTTGGGACCAGCTTCTCCTGGAATAAACACTGATGAACAAAAAGAGAGGAGGCTGAAGTGAGCAGTCCATGAACTGAAGGTGGCATTGTGCAGGTGTTCCTTGGTGAGAAGCTCATCTCCAGGCTATAAGCGGCCCCTCTGGGACCTGCTGGGACCCCTGTTCTGGGCCAGCCCCAAGGAAAGCAGCAAGTATCTTTCCAGAGCCTGCCTCCCTCCCAACCCTGTCCAGGTGCCCTTGATGAGAATAGCTGAGTTTCCCATCCCATAGTCAGAGACCCCAGCCTCTTAGCCCAAGCGGTGGCCGCCAACTCTGAGAAGAAAAAGGCTGGCAGCCCCCATGCCTTTCTGTTTCAACCCAGAAAGATCCCATCTTGACGATAGCCTGTTTCCCACTGATGGGAACATAACTGGATAGTCCGAGGAGAGAGGCACATTTGGGCCTGGGCAAAGGGGGACATAGGGTGATTTCCACAGAAGCAAGGTCTTAGATCCCTCCACCCTTCTAGAAGTTTCCCTCTCTCCTCCCCTTAAGCCCAGGAAGCCCTGAGAATCCAAGGCCTGAGGGGGTTCAAATGGAGGTTGGCTCACAGCCTGGGGCCAGCAATTGGAGAGAAAAGCTATCCTCCCCTGCGGGAAGTGTTGGAGGTTGTGTGCCCAGGAACTATGTGGAATAAGCAGTTGCAGTGTATGCCTTTGAGGCTGGACCCTGGGAGCCCCAGGAGCCCCTGTGCAGAGTCATTGCTCCTGGCTGGCCCTGTCTGCCTTCCGGCACACTTTCCCCAAGAGGAGAGCTGCTGTGGGCTCAGGAGACCCTACAGGTGGGATGAGGCTGGCTCCCCTATTCCTCATGCCATGGAGCTTGCTGACTCCAGGGCACTCGGTAGAGACCAGAACTGGGAGAAGGCCTAAGCTGCTCCATGGCACGGTGGCTGGGAAGGACGGGGCACTTGGAAAATGGTGAAATCACAACTCGGTTCAAGAAGTGAGCAGCAGCCTGGGTCGGGGGTTAGGTTTAGGAGTTCTCTTCAACCAGGTTCCCTAGGCGATTTTCTCTGGATCATTTACTTTGACTATTCGACCTGCCATGTTGGGGTCTCCATGATTCCTACTTCCTTGGCATGGAAGCCATAGATACATTGCCCTTGGCTTGGACTCCCAAGACAGGGTCCCCCAGAAAGTCCCCACATGACCCTACTGAGTAGGTGGTAGTGAAACAAGCCCTCTTATCTGCTCTCTTTTCTGTGCTCATTCTACCATACCCCTCTGTTATTTCTTCATGTGTTTGTCACCAAACAGCTCTGAACTTGAACTTGGTGTCAGGGATACGACAATGAGTGGACCACATAGTCCCTGCTCTCAAGTTGCTCACCACATTCCAGGGAAAGCTATGGTTCT